GAATTTCATCTCTACCTAAGGAAAATGCATCTTTGATATTTGTTTCTGTCCTTTTCCTTCAATCACAAACCCAAAGGATTTATGAATGACTATATTTATATTTACAAAATGAATTAAGATAATTAGTCTTAAAATTACTATGTGGAGCCTGGCTAGGTGGCTCAGCTTGTTGGAGCATCATCCTGTACATCAAAAGCTTGCAAGTTCAACCCCTGGTCAGGGCATGTACAGGAGGCAGCCGATTGATGTTTCTCTCTCACATCTTTCTCTCTGTCTCTCTAAAAATTAATAAAAATATATCTTCAGGTGAGAATTTAAAAAAATATTTGCTATGTGGACATTTTAGAAAATAGTGACATATACTCTTCAAAATTGTCATGGTTAAGAAAGGTTAAAAACTGTCCAGAGTATAGAGAAGTGAAGTGAAAATTAAATGCAATGTGTGATTCCTGGACTAGATTCTAGACTGAAGTTAAAATAATTGGGATCCTTGATAAAATTTATATTGTGGGGGCTACAAAAAGTACTTTTCCTCTCACCTTAGAAGTTCTTCTAGCTAGGCTAGTAATTCAAATGACATTCAGCAGATTAACAGGAGAAAGTTAAAATTTAATACATGCTCACGGAAATTCACATACGCATGAAAATTCCAAAGACAGGGAGGCAGATTTGGGTATATGTTATTTTCAACAAAAGAGAAAAGGGGGAAATTTTGGCCTTAGACTTTAAGTGAAAATGAGCAATTTACAGGTAGCAAGAGAGTGCCATTTCCTGCTAGGCAACTCAGAAAACAGTAGGACCATGGAGGGTAGGGGAGGTCTCTGATTGGAATCTTGCTATCTGTCATACTTAAATTAGGCTAAAGTAAATATGCTAAGATTTCCTTTCTGGTACAGGTCTTTTCATCTGAATCTTTTGAGCTGGATAGGAGAAGGTCAGACGTTCTTTCTGAGTCTTGTTTATTTTCTTTTTTAAAAATATTTTTATTGGCTTTTAGAAAGAAAAGAAGGGAGAGGGAGAGAGAAAGAGAAACATTGATGTTGAGTGGAACATCGTTCTGGCTGCCTCTTGCATGCCCCCTATCTGAAGCCTGGGCAAGTGCCCTGATCAGGAATCGAACCTGACCAATACCCAACCAAACTGAGCCATACCAGCCAGGATCCGAGTCTTGCTTCTTAATAACCAGCTTAAAAATCAATATCCCAAAAGGCAGTATTAGGATAGCAAAAAGCTCTTCCCCTTCAGTATCAATTTAAATTTTTTTTTATTTTGATAATAGAAAGTATACATTAAAATATTTATGAGTAAAGGGCTCAGTGTTTCTAATTTACTCTCAAGTGATTCAGAAAATAAGTATGCATACACAGAATGATAAAACAAATAGGGGCAAAATGTAAACAATTGATGAATCTGGGTAAATGGGGAATTTCTTATACTATTTTTGCATCTTTTCTATATGTTTGAAATTATATCAAAATCAAAGTTACCCCCAAAAAGAGTCCTGTATGAGAGAATTTCATAGAACTAATTAACTTAATTACTGTCTCAGTGTTTGCCTACTTTAAAGTATCAAACGAACTTTTAAAAAATCTGAGTGGGTGAAGTGTGGAGTAACATTTTTCTCCTGAGTCATTTGCTTTGTAGTGACATATTTCTTATCGCCGAGTATTAAATTCTAGATTCGCATTTTGAAGCACAAAGACATATTTACCAAAAACATGATTTACTTTAGCAATATCATCAAGTGTTTTCTACTCTTAGGAAAAAAGAAACATCTGCTGATTTTTCACTGCTCTATTTTGTTCTTTCTGATATTACCAGAATGTATCGTGTGAGTCGGGAGCGTGCATCCCCGAAATGTGCCACCCTGGCATACAGATTATATCAAACTGGAATTTGTTAAAGGCCAACAAACTTAAAAAAAAGAGTTTTTTTTAAAATTTCCCCCTTGTCTTAGATTCCTGCTTTAGAAAGAGAGCCGTTGACTTAATCACCTTAAGAATTTACACCCTAGCAGTAGTCAAAAAGACCATGCCGGCTAGTGCCCTCCCCCCATTGTTCGTAGTTGCCTGGCAAGAGTGCTGCCCTGTGCTTCCTCAGCTACCTCTGAATCGCCCAGTCTCGCTTCTGAAATCTAACATCCCACCCACCTTTTCTCTTTTGTCCAAAAATGTCATGTATACCCATTGCCTTACTGTCTTTGGAGTTTTCATGCTTATGTGAATTCCCCATGTGCACATACTACAATTTTTTATTTTTTCCTGTTAGTCTGCTGTATGTTGTTTGAATTAGTAAACCAGCCAGAAGAACTGAAGAGGTAAGGGGACCTTTCCCCTGCCCCAGCGGTACAGTCATGCTTTGTTGTTATTTATGGCAGCACGAGTTTGGGTGATAGCATATATACTTCATCCCTTAGCTGGAAACATTTTGACTTTTTGTTTTAATAACCGAAACAGTCTTTATAGGTAGGGCTCTTCTGTATAGTCGTGCTAGCCCTCAAAAGCTATTCGCAAAAAATAATTTTGGCAGTGTATTTTACCAGCAGCAAAGTTATCCAAGCCCTGAAAACACTTACTGACTAAAGTTAAAAAGTGTCGGGCACTGTGCTAGGCACTGGAGATGCAGTGATGAATGAGAGGATCTAGTTACTATTCCCAGGGAGAATTGCTGCACCATTCTAAGAATCCCTCTGATAACATTGTCTTGTTGGAGGAAGTCAGAAAACTAAAAAGATTCTACACAGGTGAAATATTTGGACTAATGTAGGCTGTGGCAGAAAATATATTTAAATTTTTAAATTGTTGTGTTGAGGGATATGACAGTCCTAGATCCACTTCCTTTGTTGTCTAGATTTAGTTAGTGATACTTTTATGTTGCAGATTAAAAGTGGCCCCAATTTAAAGCAGAATCAGTGCTGCCTATTCAGGTTTGTGATAATGTGATTTATTTGGTTTGTTATACGTACAGAGTGTTTGAATCGTGCTTCTGTTCTACAACTTCAACTCCAAGTATCCTTTTGTGTAACAGGGTTGGTGTTTTGCCTTTCAAACACACTGTGTGTATCTGTAATATTTGCTCCCACATTTAAATGCTTTAGGCACAGTATTTTGATACTGAGTTCTGACTTGTTTCTTCTCGGTTTCAGAATATCCAAAAGTGACTCTGGCTTAAGGAAAAACTTTACAAATAAAGAACTTTTACTCTTACACCACTGCCCTTTCATTTTTTGACTCAGTGCTAAGTAGGAGGAAGATTCTGAGAATATTAAAATATTTCAAAGAAATATATAATAAGAATATAAAGAGAACTACACCGGAAATGTTTTCAAATATTCTAAGAAAGATTTAATACAGTAAAGTTTGACAATCTAGAATTTACGAAGACTGAATCATTCCAGATGGCAGAGGGTTTATCCACTTGAATACCAACATTTTTTAATCTTCTCAGTACTAATACCTTGCTTTGTATAGTATTCTGTATATAGCTTAGTCTTTTATTTATAGATAATAATTACTCATTATTACAAAACAATCATTGTGTTAACACTGTGATTACAACTGTGAAAAAGCCTGTATAGATGCAACAAAGATTGGCAGACAAAACAATGAAAGCATGTTTTATGTTAGTAGTATTATGAGGTGAAGTCTTTTTTTTCCAGAATTGTTTTAAACTGTGACAGTGATTCAGGGGTTTGTTTGGAACTCTTATTTGGCTGTTTTGGGGCTTGATGGTGTATTGATTAAGTTTTTACTTTTGGCATTACTTTAGTAATTCTCTGTTGTATTTTTGTGTCCTCTCTTATTGTCAGTCTGTTGACTATCACCTCTCAGGACTGTGCTGCCTCCAACAGGAAGTTTAAATATTTCTTTAAAAGGGTCTCTTGTTTCAGGTGCCAGCCAAGCCATTATCACCATACATCATCAGCACATTTTACCTAGACATTAGAGCACTAGAGATGCAAAAGTCATTTTGAACAGAGCAAAAAGGAGGGAAAGTAGGGTGTTTCCCTCTCGTGTGGTTCCATGAATTCCCTGTTTTCTTGTCTTCCTTCTCCAGTAAGCTGAGAGGTTTAGACATTGTATTTATTTTAAAGAGACTAAAAGAGACAAACCAAGAATTGTGCTAAAGGTGTGACACAAAGTTTCTTTCTCTTTTCTTCTAAAAGAGAAGTTTGGTTTTGCTTTCTTTGTTTTCCTAGGTACTTCTGTTTGCTTAAAAGATTGTCAGCACATCATACCAAAATCATAAAAGAAGTAAAACTAACCTTAAATTTAATGTGTAATGAAATTTGAATTTAAAAGAAAAGTGTGAATTGCAGCACCCTTTTAATTAGAAAATGGGTGTTAACAAAAGTCAATCAGGTTTCATGACTCTGAAACAGAAATCCCTGAGTCAGACTCTTAGTTCCTTCTCATTAAAACTTGATCTCTTATTCTAATCATGTCTCTAAAACTTTCTGATACATATTTGAACTTAACTGAGAATTAACCTATAGCTCCCCATGTGGTTTTACTAAACAGCTTCCCAAACACATCTTTTTCTTGATGATTTCTTCTCTCATATCTAATTAATTTGTTTTATATATGTATTGACCTACTTCATATACTCACCATTTGCAATTGCCATATAGTACAGTTTTTAATGTATAGCTAAAATAAATTTTGGTCAGTGGGTACAGTGGGCTGTTTTCTCCACTGTAGTTTCACTAACGTCAATCTTAGGTAAGCACAGTAATTAAGAAAGAATGAATACTTTCACATATAGCAACAGAATTTTTATCAGAATTCATTGTAACCCTCAGGTTTCTGTTTTGGGTGATACATATTGCAACATGTGAACTTTCTCCATGTCCACATTTCCTGTTTAGGAGACAGACCAGGTTTAATCTGTTGAAGCTGTAACATCCATCTAATTCACTAAGGACTCTTAAAAGACAGATTAATTTTTCTTCAACTGTTTTGAGTCATATTGATTATTATTGGATTTCTTTCTTGGAATAGATGGGGGAAAAAAGAATCAAGTGATGATTCACGGAATTGAGCCAATGTTGGAAACACCTCTCCAGTGGCTGAGTGAACATCTGAGCTACCCGGATAATTTTCTCCATATTAGTATCATCCCACAACCAGTAGATTGAAGGATCAACTATTTGCTTGAACAGAATCCCCCGTAAACAGGATCTACCAGAGCATGTCACCCTTCTGCTTCAGTCAGGTTCGGTGGAGGCAACCTGACCAGAAACACTGCTGCAAGCCAAACAGGAAAAAGATTCCATGTGTGATAAGGGCACTGGGGCTGGTCTTGCTTTGCATCACCACTGCTTTCCTCCACTGCCGTCATTAAACCTCAGCTGCGACATGAAAGACTTTACAGGACCACTGCAAGTCTTCTTTTTTCTTGTAAAATATAATGAAGCCGAAACCTTTGGCCTAAGAAGAAAATGGAAATATGTGCCACTCAATTTGTAGTTCTGATTAACAAATAAACAGGGGTATTTCCTAAGGTGACCATGGTTGAACTTTAGCTCAAGGGAGTGGAAACATTGGTTTAATTTTCGAGAGAATTAGACTTAAGAAAGTAAAAGAGAAATTCTGTTATCAATGACTTGCAGCAGTTTTTTGTAAAAGATCAAATTACAGTAAACCCATCTTTCCTTAATGAAAATTTCCTATGTTTACAGTCTGTCTATTGGTATGCAAACAATCTTGTAACTTTGATAATGAACAGTGAGAGATTTTTAAATAAAGCTTCTAAATATGTTTTGTCATTTAATAACATACAATTTTGTCACTTTTGCAGTACTTTCTGACTCTCATACAGTAGATCACTGTTTGTACTCTTATGTGTTACCATTCAGACTGGTCGTCATCGGCATGGAATGAATGTAGGGCATAGGATAATGTGTCTCAGGAGCTGTCATAGAATTTCTAGCTGCCGATTTTTAAATCTGTTCTTTACACGCTAAAGGTATAAATAATGTTATCATTTAGCTTTGCTATTTTACCACTGTACACTGTCAAGTCATAATATACTAAGCATCTGTATAGGATACATTAGTATACTATGTATTTTGCATTTTTGGAAAAACCAATTTCTTTCCAACCTAGTATTTTTCATGGCTTCAGATCTATTATTTCACTGTGGTCCCTGGCAGCCAGTCTTTGAAGTCTAAAGATTACCAATCTCCTGAATGCAGTAGCTTTTCCTTAACTTTACCAAAAATATTCAGAGGTTACTGAATTCTTATTCAGTATAAAGACATTTTTGCTGCACTTTATTACCACGCCGCTAGAACTCTGCCAGCTGAAAGTATCTGCGTCACACTTCGTTTCTTGTGAACTAGCTTGCTGTCCATATTGAATGTTGACCATTTGGGTATGCTAAAAGACAGAGTACCATACAATAATGGTTTTAGATTGCACAATAAAAATGAATGTTTTTGTTATAAAAGTTATGAATATTGAAGTGAGAGCCTGCTGGTGCTCACTGCTTCTTTTTTTCTTCTGTGATTTTCACTGATTAATAGTAGACTCGTTCACAAAATGAGGTAAAGCTAGGCGAAGATCCGATACTCTGGAATGGGTGGTGTAAGGCTCAAATAGGAAAACAGGGCTGCAAGTGATCAGAGGAAATAGAAGCAAGTAGCAAATAACTGGCTAATGTCCATAAAATGAAAAGTGCCATTTTAGTACACGCAGGAAAAATACAATATTTGAGTTACTTAAGGATAAAAAATCCACTGACTTGTATTTTTCCGAAAGAGATTGATCTGAATATGATTGTTCACATTAAAAGTGTTTATTCGTCTATTCAGTTTGGGGATTTTCCCCCTTGATGTTTTGACAGACTGAAGTGAGCATCAGTGAACAAAAGGATCAAATTGCCAGGGAGTACTAAGCTGTGAAGAAGCAAGTGTGGTAAGAACAGTAAGACGTACTTTTCCACAGACAAGACCTCTGCAGCGGACTCATGCGAGCTAATAATGATCTTTACTTGCAGATCGGAAAGTGAATTTTATCAAGCCATCGCCCATTTTTACTTACTTGTTCTAATGATTTGTACCAGCATCATAACTGTATTACTCTAGTCCCAGGTAAGTCAAGCCTCGGATACCCAGAGGGAGTATAGAAACACAAATTAGTGCCAGCTTAAATATCTATTTTTGTTTTTTTTTTTAATTTGAATATTTAAATTTTATGGTTTATTAAAAAATTAAACAAATCCTCTGTCTGTCTTTATTTCTAGAAGTTGGGAATTAAATTTATATAAAGCAAGTTACCCATTAGGAACTCATTAAAATCTCCTTAGTCTTATATCAATCTAAAAAGTGCCTCTAAGAAATAAAAGCTATGAGGGATAAAGGAGAACATAGGAAAGAAAATTGAGGGAAGGCCACAAATCTCTATATGCTCGTTTAACTCATCCTTGGTAGTGAACCCCCTTAGAAAATGAAAATGTGTTTTTTAAAGTTACTGGCATTGCTAACCAGGAAGGAATAAGTTGAGCCTAAATAAAGTAAATACTTCTCTTTTATAATGTTGCTTTGGCCCTGGTGAGTTATGCTCAGCAGTTAGAGCACTGGCCTGCAGACAAAGGGTCTTGGGTTTGCTTCCTGGTCAGGGCATATACCTGGGTTGCAGATTTGATCCTGGCCCTGATTGGAGTCGTGCGGGAAGCAACCAGTCAATGTGTCTCTCTCACATTGATGTCTCTCTCCTTCCCTCCCTCCCTCCCACCCTATCTTTAAAAAAAAAAACAACAAATAAACAAAAACAGTATAATGTTGCTTTGCATTCAGATAATCTTAGTTCTAATCATGGATAGAGTTGAATTGATAAGCACCTTATATGTCTAGAGACCCAAAGTAGCTGGATCATAATTGAATGAAATTGACCTACTAGTCTTTACAAAATGGACTAGTCCTGTTATGTTTATTCCTCCCCAAACCCCTTCACTGGAAACTAGATAGGAATTGATAAGAAAACAGTATACAAGATTTGATGTTGAGTGACAATGACTTTAAAATTTTGGTTAATCCTCAGGATATTTTTACATTGCTTTATAGATAGAAGTGGGGGGGTGAGAAACAATATGAGAGAGGCATATCGATTGGTTTCCTCTCGCATGACCCTAGCTGGGGCCAGGGATCGAACCTGCAGCCCAGGTCTGGACATACCTTTGACTGGGAATCGAACCCATGATGCTCTAACTGCTAAGCCAAACCAGTCAGAGCGTGACAGTAACTTTTTTTTTTTTTTAATGGGGATAGTAGGATGTATGTATGTATGTATGTATGTATTCTTTGTTGATTTTATTTTTTTTTTGCAATTTTTATTAATTTATTTTTGTTACAGATGTTTCTCCTCCCCCCCCCCCAGATACCCTCCTCCCAATCCCTCCCCGCCCCCCAGCATTGTTGTCTGTGTCCATTGGTTTCATATACATGCATATAAGTAACTTCTAGTGGTTATTTTTCTGGAGTATGTTTATTTTTTTCATAGGCTATATTAGGTAACCTTTAACATTTTAGGAAAATTTAAAGGATTATGTGGGTCATGCCAAAGAATGATTCTCACTTTTATTTGTCATATTATTGATATTTAGGTCTGAGGTAAGTTGGTTTCCTATTAGATGTGCAAACATTGTTGGAGTAGAAGTGTAGAATCTTGGGGTATGGTGGGGGGGAAAGCAAGTGTAACAATATTTATAGCCCTGGCCAGTTTCTCAGTGGTTAGCACATCGGCCTGTGGTCTGGAGAGACCTGGGTTCAGTTCCCACTAAGGGCATGTACCTTGGTTGCAGTTTGTCCCCGGCCCTGGTTGGGTCATGCGGGTGGCAGCCACTCCATGTGTCCCTTTCATGTCGATGTTTCTGTCTCTCTCCCTCCCGCTCTGTCCAAAACAAAAAATGGAAAAATGTCCTCGGGTGAGGATAAAAAAAACAAACAAAACAACATTTATAGTGTGGGAGCTAAAAAGAATACTTTTCCTTCTGTTGGCAGTGGCCAAAATGCCACCAGATGTTAGACTGGTAGAGTCAGACAGGACCTGGGTTCAGCAGCCTCTGTACTTGAGTTCTGGCTAAGAAAGAATTTAGTGTCAAGACTCAAACCATAAGAGAACATTTACTTAGAAAGTCATAGAGGTAGAAGAAGTGAGCTGTAGAAGTTAGGGATTTAGGAAAGAAGTTACAGAGGCAAAAGAAGGGGCCTTGGAGCTTAGGAAAGGAAAAGGTAAAAGTAAGAGCCTCGGGAAGAGGAGGGGGACAGGAAAGGCAGGGGCATGCTCCAGAGAGGGAGAGTCCTCTGGGTCCTCTGTCCTACGTGTTTTTAAGGGTGGGTGTTTTAGAGTATGTCCCAGGGGAGAATCTCAATAGAATATTCATCAGCTTTCCAGGTGTGTCCTTTCAGGGTCTTGTTCTCTACTGATTGGTTGGCACCAGGGCAGGGTCATTAGTTGTTGTAGCTGGTCCTGATGTTAGCCATGGCATCGCTTGTCTGGTTCTGCTGCCTTTCGGGGCCTGGAGCTGGAACAGCTGAGAACTAGAAGTACCCCTAGAGGTTAGTGCTTAAGGGAGTGGTTGTGCAAGGTCCCACGTGCGAGTTGCACGCGGCCACTCTTTAGCCCCCTGTTCTGACAGTGAAATGCCAGGGAAGACACGGGCAGGGCAGGGTCTGAACCACATGACCAGCAATGTGAAAGGTCAGGGAGTTTACGCCCGGTGACCAGCGCTCTATGCCGGGCGGAGGATTGCCCTGGGGCGGGTCCTTGTTTTCCCAGTTGCTAGGCTCCTGGGGCTTTCCTCCCTGGTGGCCTGCCCTGGCTCTTTATTCTTGCTCTGTTCGCGTCTGTCTGCCTACCACACTGTCACCTAGGTTATTCTAGCTGGGCTAATAAAATTAACAAAGATTAATGGGAGAAAATAAAATTTTTAGTACATGTGTACAGGGAACTCACATAAGCATGAAAATTCCAGAGAGTGAGGCAAAATTGGGTATATATGTCATTTTGGACAAAAAGAAAGGGTGGGGTAGTGGTCAGATTTTGAGGGAAGGGGGTAATTTACAGGCAGTTGAGGAAGAGGGGATCATGCTTGGAAGGCAAATTTTTGCTCAGCAACCCAGAAACAATCAAACAGCAGGGCATCCAGTAAACAGGCCCCTCTTGGATCCTTCCTGTCTAATGCTTGAGGTGATTATGCTAAGTAAGGTTCCCTTCCTGAAGCAGGTCTTTCTGTCTGAATGTCTTAGACAGGAAAGACATGAGGGTCAAAGGTTATTTCTGAGATTTGTCTCTTAGTAACCAGCTTAAAATCAGTATCCCAAAAGTCAGCTTTAGGCTGCAAAACTTGGGTCCCTTCAATAGTCAGTTCCATTCATAGTTAATCACTAGGATGGAATCAGTCAAAATATTTAATTTTTTTGAGTTCTATCATCCTCTTCAGTGTTTTCTGTATATTATCATCTCCTGGTCTGAAAATAGTAAAACTTACCAATAGGGGTACTGGGAAGAAGAGAAGAATGACATGCCTCTTTTCAGACGGTTTGAGAGTGACACTTTGTAATGTTAAAATGTTATTTACAAAACTATTTGACAGAAGAATCTTTTAAATTCTCTCAAACGTGAATTACAAATGTGGTTCTTAACCATCACTGACAAACATAATACTGTGGAGTCTAGTAAGCATAATACAGGGTGGGGCCAAAGTAGGTTTACAGTTGTGAGTACAAAAACAGCTCATTCTTGCATTATTATTTATTAATTATTCTATCATTTTCCATACAAAGAACTGTAAACCAGCTTTTGCCCCACCCTGTATAGTAACCATACAGTGAAAAAGGACTCACTTCTAAGGTCATTTAGGAGGTTCATTAAATATGTAGGTCTTTAAATACTTAGTTTTTGTTAACTGATAATGTGCTGGAATGACCAACAGTGAGGTAAAGACAAATCTAAGGTTAGACATGTCAGCGTGCTGTCACATACCAGTTGATTTTTTCTGAAAGTGGTTAATTTGGCTCCCCTCCTCCCCTCTCCCCTCATCACAAGTATAACTAAAACACAACAGGCTTTCTCCTCTTTGTTTTCTCCGGTTATTTGTGGCATGTCTAGTACATAGTTCATGCTTTGCAAATGTTCATAAAAAGAAGAAAAACTCGAGTATTCAATGACACATTAAAATTGTTGTATTTTTCTGTTAAACATACCATCTATAAAAATAAGAACTTTGTCATTTAGAAATCAATATACCAAGGACTGTTGGTTCCGGTTTGCATTACTGATGAGGACTTGCTTACTCAAACCTGCTACTTTCAGTAGGAACCACTGTGGATTGGATCCTTGCGTCAGTCCACATTCATTTTAGTTGCAGCATAGACCGCAGTACATATTTTATGTTTCAACAGCACTCTAATTTAAGCAACTCCTAAAGTTGGGGCTATTCTCATCAAGCATCTGGAGGTATTTATTAATTCTGATCTTTTCATAAATGAGTGGTTTGTCTTGCTTTTGCCTCTAGACTTTGCTTCTGAAAATGTAATGCATTTTTAGCAACGGAAATATTTTAGCCTGTGAGCAAGGTGATTCAGATGAAGGCAGACTATTAGAGCCATGCGCGTGAAAAGCTTTAAGAGGAATATTTGGGTTTCAATCTTTTATATTAAGTGGAGGAGGTATCTGTTTCGCATTATTATTTAGATAATGCTGATGAACTTTTCCTGTATATCATTTACTGTATTTATAATAAATATTTGTGTGGTATTTGTTTCTCACACTGAGCGTAAACTCCGTAAGAGCGGAGAGGAGATCTGTGTGACTCAGTATTGTATTCCCATGACCTAGCACTGTGCCCAGAACATAGTGGACTGTCCAAAATATTTCCTGAATAAAAATTTGGAAAAAGCTATGCAATATATCTCCCTCTTAGAGTCCAAAGCTCATTGACATAGTAAAGGCTTTGAGAAGTTTTAAAGTAAACTGAAACATTTGACCCAGTAAGCTTTCTTGATTATAGGAATCCCCCACCCCCCCCCAGTACCGCATCATATTGAAGTGTAGTTTGGGAAATGCTGCATTAAATCACTAGATCCTAATGACCTGGAATGTATAGCATAAGGTTTAATCCCAACTTTTCTGACAACTATTTGAAAGAAGCTCTCAAGCTTCTGACTCCAAAAAATATATATATATCTCCAGCCCATTCATTCCATCCTCCAGTT